CAAGAAAGCTCATCAGAGACTCTACTTCCTCAGACGGCTGCGGCGAGCTGGTCCGGGAAGCTCAGTCCTCACCTCCTTCTACAGGTGTGCAGTGGAGAGCATCCTGTGCTCGAGCATCAATGTGTGGCATGGAGGCTGCACAGCTGCAGAAAGAAAAGCTTTGCAGAGAGTGGTGAAGGCTGCACAGAAATCTGTTGGAATCAGTCTCCCCACCATCACAGACATCTACACCTCCAGATGCAGGAAGAGGGCCACCTGCATCATGAAGGACCCCACCCACCCAGCACACACACTTTTTGCCCCACTCCCCTCAGGAAGGAGGTTAAGGAGCATTAAGTGTAGAACCACTAGACTGAGGAACAGCTTCTACCCTGAGGCTGTTAGACTCATGAATCTCTAACTAGAATAATCACTGTGAAAAACCATATCATGTTGCTGCTGATCTGTTTCATGTTGCTGCTGATCTGTTTCAATGTTGATGTGTTCATGCGTGCACATCTGCTCACAGACTCATGTTCATGTTTGTGCTGATGTTCAATGTTTTATGTTATGAGTGCTTAGTGTATATTTAGTTGATGTTTTTCTTAGTTCATATCTTAGATGTCATTACTGTTTTTCTTATACATTTTATTGTTGGATGTAACTGGGACCCTGCGTACATAATTTCGCTCCACCACATGTACCACATGAGGTGCGAATGACAATAAAGAAACTCTGACTCTGACTCTGACTCCTGTCACTAGCCTGGATCCATGCAGACAACAGCGGGGCCTCTAGTCTCGATCCTTCCCTGTGTGGCTGCTTGGCTGGATAAAGCCCACTTCTCTGGCCTGAGCTCCGCTCCAATAATCCTCACTAATGCAGAGCACACTTGTATACAGACCTAATTCCCACCTTTCAGGTGAAGAGGATGTCAGCAGATTTGGGAAGACAGGCAGGTATATAAGGATGTAGCAGCTCCGAAAGATAAGGAGGGACAAGACCATTTAAAGATTTCAAAACAAAATATTTTTTTAATGGATTGGCAGCCAATGAAGAGATTTTAAAATGGTGTGATGTTATTAGATTTCTTGTGCCACTTCACAGACATGTTACAGCATTTTACGCCATCTGTAAATGTGCAACGGTAGACGCACTGACTCCAACACACGGAGCGTTACAATGGTTCAGCCGAGTTGTAACAAAGGCGTGGATCACTGTTTCAAACAGCTGCTGGGAAAGAATGGGTTTTATCTTGGCCAGCTGCTTCAAATGAATCAAACAAACAAAAACTAGATTTTACAACTTACTTTATCTCACTGTCAAATTTAAGATTGACCTCAGTTTGAACCCCTTAATTTGTGACATTTGGTTTGATGTACTGGGCAAGGAAAGCAAGATGTAAGAGGTATAATCTGTAGCATTACCAAGAATATTTTCAGTTTTCTTCTCGTTAAAATTCAGAAAAATTTAGAGACATTGTATATCTGTTGGATTTAAAAAATCATCTTCATTTTATCCAACATTTTTCAGTCAGGTCATCTGGACAGTTTCTTTCCAGATGACCTGACTGAAAAATGTTGGCATGTGATTTCTACTTTCTGCATCTAGTCTTGTTTCTGGTGTGGTTTTACTCAAGCCCTAGAAAGATTCTCAGCAAGGGCGTCAGAAGCATCCGTAATGTGGGGGGGACACAATGATGAGTGTAGGTGTGTGTGCATGTGCATGCGTGTGCACGTGTGCGCACGTAAAAAAAAAAGGTGTTCACTAGTGAACAAAAAAAGCAGCATTTCACCTAGATTTCCTTTAATTCCACACATTTAAAACATGTTTCTCATCAAGTTTGTGTAAATTAATCTGTGGGTTTTAAAGACATTTTAACTTTAATACACTTTAACACAGAGCGTCAGATCGACACTATTTGTCTTTATAGCAAAATAAAAACCATCCCCACTGGACATTTTTACTTGTGTTCAACACTGCTCATATAAATGATGTTTCTCATGAAGCTTGAGGACAATAAGGTGTGGGGGTTTAAACACATTTCAGCTTTAATGCACCTGAACACACAGCGTCTCTTACACCTGCAGCGTCTCACAGCGTCACAGTTACTGCTAAGCTAACATGCTACAGACGTAGCTCCTCTCAAACATCCTCCTAACATGAATATATGTTGATGATCAACCCCCTGGTCAACCACTGCCCGCACTAAACTGCTAAACTGGTGAGCGAGTAACACAGGTACCTCCACCTGTGCGTTTTCTGTCGAGGCAGGAGGCAGGAAGCGACGGTGGAGAGTTGGAGGTAACCAGGAAAACCTGGAGTGGAGTTTTAGTGGCTTGAGTATTCTCCTATTAATCAAGTGGAATGGATTTGTTCACGAAGAAAGAGAAACTGCGCCCCCTGAACTAATGTTTCATAGTAAAAGTGGGGGGGTCCAAATGAAAGTTTTTTTAATGTGGGGGGGACTTGTCCCCTTCACATATAATGGTTGTGACGCCTGTGATTCTCAGTGTGAGAACTTGTTCCAGGTAAGAATTTCCATACAAGGAACATCAGAGAATATGATGATGTAAGGGTTTTTTTCCCTCGTAACACCTTTAAAGAATTCACATACAAGACAGAGTGTAAGAATTTGATGAGCCCTCTGCAGAGAGTGGGAGTTCGTCCTGACCAAAGCTCAAGGTAGAAGTCCGCCGTTCGACTGGAGAGCTCGTGTTTTATTTCGAGACAGGAGGAGTGAGCAACATGCACAAATCAACAGATACAGATTTTCTCTGACGCAGCAGAGCCGCACAAAATGATAAACGAAAAACAACAGAGACAGTTTGATACGGAGGCAGGATGAGCAAGGTCAAAACCAAATAACAGCCATCTGTTGTTTTAAAAACCCAAGATCTGGTCTTAGTACACACGCACATGAAGCTGAGAACAAGACTGCTGTTCTTCAGTTCACACGACTGGAGTTTAATTAAATAGTGAGAAGTCTAAAAACAGTTTTACATTATAACATTTTAATTTTATCCAACAAATGACCTTTTTGTTTTTCTTTAAAAAAGTCATTACTACTTCGCTCTAAGCCCAGATTAATTCAAGAAAGTCATTTGAAACGTTTTTGTGAACAGTCATTCCTCTGGGACATGTCTCATTTTGATTGGCATCATATTCTATTAACTGATGACACGAACACAACTTGGAACTATTTTCAAAATAGTTTAATCTATTTTGTAAATAAACATGCTCCTTTTTGCCAGTTCAGCATAAAAGGTCGAGACAGCCCCTGGTTTACTCCTGTGTTAGCTGACCTCCTGCAAACGACAGACCAGCTTTGGGCTGCAGCCAGAAAATCTGGCTCAGACTTGGGCTGGGCGATATGGACCAAAATTAATATCACAATATTTTTAAAGATAAATCACGATATACGATATATCTCGATATTCAAACATCTGCTAAATTCATGGCACAAACCAACGCAGACATGTTCCTGTTTTTAGTATTTTACATTGCTTTATCATGTAGCTGTTTTTGTTTTGTTTTTAATATAATTTTCTTCCATTTATTTTTCAATTTACATGCATTCTTTTATGATTGTCCACTGTTGTCATCACTCTTTGTTAAAATCAGACCTCTCTTGTAAACGAGTCCCCGAGGCTCAATGAGACTAACCTGTAGAAATAAAGGTTGAATTAATTAATGTTTTTTTCTTTGGAGTGGCTGTGGCTGAGTGGTTAGAGCAGTTGTCCTCCAATGCAGGAGTTGGGGATCGATTCCACCAGCAGTTACATGCCAATGTGTCCCTGGGCAAGACACTGAACCCCTCGTTGCCTCTGTGTGTTTCCATCAGTGTATGAATGTGATAAAGCTCTGATTAGTCTCTTTAGAATGATTTGTTCAATCATCTTTGGAGAGATCTAGTATAGAGCTGTATGAATGGGTCAATGAGGCACAGATTGTTGTAAAGAGCTCTGAGTATCTTGACAAAATAGAAAGGCGCTGTATAAGTACAGTCCATTTACCGTTCTTTCCATAAAGTAATAACCAAAATATATTTGAGTCAAAGCTTTGTCCCAGTGTTACACAGGCACATTTATTAACAAACAACTAACTCTACTAAATGTCTAAAAATAAACTATTTGCATATATTCAATAATAATCCAACGTTAGTAAGCGTGTGAAGCAGCACTTGAGGGAGGAGAGGCTGTGTGAAGTTGGACGGCCAGAAAAAAGGAGAACTACACAGATTGTCAAGTCTTACATTGAGAGAAGCCGCGACATTAATAAAGCAGCAGCTTATCATATCTCTAAAGACACGGTCCTTAGCGGCTAACAAGATGGCTAACTTTAGCCATCTTGTTCCACAGTTGAGACCGGGACTGAGTCTTTAGCGATATGGTAAGCTAATATGATAAGCAAAACGTAATTATTTCCTATCTAAGATCACCAAAAAGGTCTAAATGATCCTGAAAGATTCTGGAAAACCATAAAATCTCTCTCTGGCAGCTCCCATTCATCTGACCTCCCATCACAGCTTCTTGTGAACTCTGTTCCAAATAAACATGAGATCCTGAACTGTTTCAACAAACATTTTGTTGGTTCTAGTTCCTTGTTTGCCACAGTTACTAATGGAAAATCAGCCATTTTTCCTTTAAGCCAAACATCTACAAATCAAATCCCTCCTACAAGTCAATCCTCAGTTAATCACAGCTTCTCTTTTTCACTGTTCTCAGTCAGTGAGGTCAATAAACTGTTAAAAGGTCTTGATCCTAAAAAATCTGCAGGTCCAGATGAACTTCCACCTTATTTCTTAAGGCTGGCTGCTCACATCATCACAGTCCCTGTGACCCACATCTTCAATCTCTCCATAAGACAAAACTCCATCCAGACACTTGGAAAACAGCCTTTGTTCTTCCTTTGCTGAAGGGAGGAGACTAACCTGTATAAATAAAAGTTGAATGAATTAGTTTCCTGAACTGTTAAACTTCCACTAATTGTGATCATTGTTGTGATTTTTGTCTCTAAAGAATAATTTCACTGAAACACTGTATCGCTATGATGAAGATGGGTATCAGTCCTACTGCACAATCTGCTGCTATGGAATGGAGGTCATACTGTGTGGAAATGATAGCTGCTGCAGGTCCGTTTTTCAGTTTTGATATTGAATTGACTGTTAACTGGAAGTTGGTGATTTACTTGTACGTCCACCATTTCAATGTCCTCCATCCTCTCTTTTTACGACTGCAGGTCTTACTGTGAGGACTGTCTGAACATCCTAGCTGGCCCAGGAACATTTGGCTCTCTGAAACTCATAGATCCATGGATCTGTTTTTTGTGTCAGTCTCATCAACCACACGGTGCTTTGGTTCCCAGGGAGGACTGGAGCATTCGCGTTCAGGAGCTTTTTGCTAACAACAGCGGCATAGAGTTTGTAAGTAATCAAAACATAGTACTGTAGTATCCTGAATACTTGAAAATCATTTCATTGTGTTGTAGCATTTCAGGTAAGAAATACATAAATTGCTTGTATAAACACAAGAGGAGTGGGTGTGCCCCAGAGACCATCTTAGCACCAACATAACTGTTTTTTTCCACTTTGGAGTAAGCTGCTGGGGAGAATCAGTTTTGTTTGGTGTTTCCTCTGACTGATGAAGCCTTCTGGATGGAAGGTGAAACGTTTCAGCACAAAATAATAAACTGTCCAGATGACCTGACTGAACGTTGTTGGATTTTATACCTGGGTTATTGACCATGGACTTTGGTGCTTGTATAAATGTTGTTTACACAAGTTTTAGCTAGCGAGCAATTGCATATAAAAATGGCCACATCTTATCTTTTTAACGCATCAAATTTTACTGTTAGTCCCGATTGCTCTCTCAGATTGTTGTACCAAATTTCATAATTGCCTAAATCATGCTGGCACTAGCAATAAGTGACATTTTTATCTCTAAATAACAGTGCCTTTTTCTACCAATATTAAAATAAAAACTAGGACCACAACCTGAGATGATTTGGTACCATGTTCCCCATTATTTCAGTTTCAGGCTTGTATTCCAGTGATCTTGCTAACATTTTTTATGCCTCAATACTCAGTGCATAATTCTTAAGTGTGTCATATTCACTTGTACTGAAAATGCATAAATACCAAGCCATTCCCTAACCCATATTGTCATGGCCCCTCCTCTGACCTCTGACCCCTCTGACTATGAGTTGTCCTATTTGTCCATCCAGAAGACAGTCCACACTAAGTTGTCTGTGGTGTAATTCCGCAGATGTTTAGGACAGAAAATGTTGTCAGATGTGTTATGACATGAAGCAATGTTTCCACATTGGACCTTCTTTTTATTAAGACCACTTCCACCAAAGTAATCTTCATAGGTTCTGGTGAAGTCTACTTCTCTGATCAAATGGTTTGGATCAAGTGGTTGTCATCAACAGGCGAGTCCTTCACACCGGATAGCCGCAGTTTCATGTTCTTACATGTTCTTTAACTGAACTGTTTATCCATTTATACCATGAACATTGTCATTGTCAGTGAACTTGACCTCCTCCCCCCATCATCATGTATTTATCTAATAGACACATATTCAAGTTTGTTGTGTGAGGGAATTCATGCTTTGGGTTTTGATTTCTCTGACAGTTTACTGACAGGTGTTCTTGTTTCTTTGTATGACATAACTCATTAGTAAAAAAGTCATACTTTCTTAGTAACACTTTGTTGTTGTAGGAGCTTCATCGTGTGTACCCATCTATCCCTGCCAGCCTGCGCAGACCAATACGTGTTCTCTCGCTGTTTGATGGCATTGGAACAGGTGAGTGTACCGACCTGTGGCCTCATGTACAAATACTTCCGTGGATTTCCTACTTAAACGTAGCATACGCTTAAATCAAGAAAATAATAAGAATGCACAAATAAATCCAGATGTATGAAACTGTGTGCATGCATGAATCCAAGCACGTCCTTTGTTCATCACAATCAACGTGGAATTGCGCCATAGGCGTCACAACCATTATATGTGAAGGGGACAAGTCCCACCCACATTAAAAAAACATTAATTTGGACCCCCCCACTTTTACTATAAAACATTAGTTCAGGCGGCGCAGTTTCTCTTTCTTCGTGAACAAATCCATTCCACTTGATCAATAGGAGAATACTTAAACCACTAAAACTCCACTCCAGGTTTTCCTGGTTACCTCCAACTCTAAACACAGCAGCAGCCTGTTGCCATGGTCACAATATACGGTGGTCACAGAATATGGTGTAACACCTGCAGTGTTTTTGTGTGTCTCCTGCTTCGGCAGAAAACGCACACAGGTGGAGGAGGTGGAGACACCTCTGTGTTAGTCGCTCGCCAGTTTAGCAGCTTAGTGCGAGCAGTGGTTGACTGGGGGGGTTGATCATAAACATATATTCATGTTAGGAGGAGAGAAGGGGAGAGCTACGTCTGTAGCATGTTAGCACTGTGACTGTGAGGCTGTGAGACGCTGCAGGTGTAAGAGACGCTCTGTGTTAAAGTGTATTAAAGTTCAAATGTGTTTAAAACACACTGATGAATTTACACAAACTTGGTGAGAAACATGTTTAAATGTGTGGAATTAAAGGAAATCTCAGTGAAATGTTGCTTTTTGTTCACTAGTGAACACCTTTTTTTAACATGCACACACACACCTACACACATCAGTGTGTCCCCCCCCCACATTAAGGATGCTTCTGACGCCCTTGAGTTGCGCATATGAGGGAGTACCTGATTCCTCCCTCGGCACGTCTCCATTTAAATAAGCAAATAGATTTAAATCTGCCCTGCACCTGAAGGATCTCATCTCTGCACTGTCGAGAAGCACGTCTACACGCAGGAAAAAGAGTAAATTCACAGAATGTGAGTTGGAGACACTTGTAAATGAGGGAGAGGCACGTTAAAAACATTCTGTTTGGCACACTGTCATCTGCTGTTAGCTCCAAGTGCAAGAGCAGTGACAACGTGTGTAAAGCTGTAAAAACTGAGACGTTTATTTTCTAAACATAACGTCCCAGTGGCTTTTAAACCCCAAAATACATTAAAGACTGGTTCATCCCAAAGATCCAGTCCCCCGGCACAAACAGAGTAATGTTGTGTATGTTGTTCAGTGTCAGGAGGGTGATCAGTCTTACATCGGGGAAACAAAACAGCCACTGACCAAAAGGATGGACCAGCACAGAAGATCAACATCATCAGGCCAGGACTCTGCGGTCTACACTCATCTCCAGGCCAGCGGTCACTCTTTCAGGGATGAAGATGTTCACATCCTGGACAGAGAGGAACGATGGTTTGAGAGAGGAGTAAAGGAGGCCATCTTTGTGAAAAGAAATCGTCCATCATTAAACAGGGGTGGAGGCCTCCGGGTTCAACTGTCCCCCTCTTGTTTTTCATTCATTCAACATTTATTTAAACAGATAAATCACATTGAGCCTAAAAGACTCATTTACAAGTGAGACCTGTTTGCAATTCTCAATGCTCCTCAGACCAAAGAAGTCTTTTGGATGAAAGATGAAACATTTCAACACAGAAGAATCTGTCCAGAGGACCCGACTCAACATTGTTAGATGTATTTACCTGGATTATTGAGCATGCGTTCAGGACATGTACCTTAAGATGTTTTGTTCAAATTGTTTCAGCTTGTGTGCATTCCTAAACTGAACCACAACCTCAGCTGGAGCAACAACACCACCAGCCTGATCAAGAAAGCTCATCAGAGACTCTACTTCCTCAGGCGGCTGAGACGAGCTGGTCTGGGAAGCTCAGTCCTCACCTCCTTCTACAGGTGTGCAGTGGAGAGCATCCTGTGCTCCAGCATCAACGTGTGTCATGGAGGCTGCACAGCTGCAGAAAGAAAAGCTTTGCAGAGAGTGGTGAAGGCTGCACAGAAGATGTTGGAGTCAGTCTCCCCATCATCACAGACATCTACACCTCCAGATGCAGGAAGAGGACCACCTGCATCATGAAGGACCACACTCACCCAGCACACACACTTTTTGCCCCACTCCCCTCAGGAAGGAGGTTGAGGAGCATTAAGTGTAGAACCACTAGACTGAGGAACAGCTTCTACCCTGAGGCTGTTAGACTCATGAATCTCTAACCAGAATAATCACTGTGAAAAACCATATCATGTTGCTGCTGATCTGTTTCATGTTGCTGCTGATCTGTTTCATG